AGCTTCAGCAAAACCCAATCACCTTCTACCAATGACCGTTCTAATATCTTTTTACCAGCATAAAACTTTACCCTTGTACTTGCTTGTGAAAGCTTTTCCTTTAACTGTTGGTTTACTTTGTATCTCCGAATCTCCACCACTAGCCTTTTTATGTCGATTTTCTGGATAAAAGGATGCCTATAAGGTTTGATTCTGAATGGATGCATTCTCTCAGTCAATGAAATGTTGTGTTCATGTGACCTCGAAGGAGGTAACACTTTTGGCTCTTCAAAGACCTTAGGAAATGGTTCAATCACCTCTGTGATCTTGCCAAGAGTCTCATTTTTGTTATTCTCAATGAGGAAACACAGTTGTCCTACAGCTCCATGGGCTCCCTTGTCAAACATCTTATCTATCTCCTTTATCTTCTTCATCTTAATTGGACTCTCTGATATTTCATTCCTCAATTCCTCCTCCTCATTGTGGTGTTTGAATCTGATAAATCCCTGTTCAACATGAAAAAGAGTAGGGCTAAATTGGCTCAACCAATTTACTACTAAAACCATATCACTCCCCCGCAATGTCAAGGTTCTTAGATTGAACTGAAATTCCGAGTCATGCACTCTCCAGAATACAGGCTGATTTCTCCCCATTCTAACTGACTTGCCCAACTATAACATCCCTCCCCCTTAGCATAACCTTGTCCCCAAGGTTGAGATGCCAAAAATTTGGGTTGCACTTCTACGGATTCCTTCTAGGTATCATCATCTGGGATAGTTCCTTCCCAGTGAACTAACAATTGAGTCACATCTATACCATTTTTATTGATCAATCTGGTTGATAAGACTTGCATTGCTTTTGCCTGATTCTCATTGCTTTTTTGTTGATTTGGGAGTGCATAAATTGGGACCTCCTTCTCCCCAATCTTCTTCTTCAACAAGGACACATGAAGGAAAGGATAAATGCTTGATCCTTTAGGTAATGCCAATTGGAAGGCTACTGCTTCTACCTTCTTTATAACCTGATATGGGCCAAAACACCTAGCACTTCGTTTATGGTTAGAACTATGTTCCACTAACTTTTGTGCATACGGGAGTAGCTTCAGCAAAACCCAATCACCTTCTACCAATGACCGTTCTAATATCTTTTTACCAGCATAAAACTTTACCCTTGCACTTGCTTGTGAAAGCTTTTCCTTTAACTGTTGGTTTACTTTGTATCTCCGAATCTCCACCACTAGCCTTTTTATGTCGATTTTCTGGATAAAAGGATGCCTATAAGGTTTGATTCTGAATGGATGCATTCTCTCAGTCAATGAAATGTTGTGTTCATGTGACCTCGAAGGAGGTAACACTTTTGTCTCCTCAAAGACCTTAGGAAATGGTTCAATCACCTCTGTGATCTTGCCAAGAGTCTCATTTTTTTTATTCTCAATGAGGAAACACAGTTGCCCTACAGCTCCATGGGCTCCCTTGTCAAACATCTTATCTATCTCCTTTATCTTCTTCATCTTAACTGGACTCTCTGATATTTCATTCCTCAATTCCTCGTCCTCATTGTGGTGTTTGAATCTGATAAATCCCTGTTCAACATGAAAAAGAGTAGGGCTAAATTGGCTCAACCAATTTACTACTAAAACCATATCACTCCCCCGCAATGTCAAGGTTCTTAGATTGAACTGAAATTCCGAGTCATGCACTCTCCAGAATACAGGCTGATAAACAGCTTTGCTCTCTATTTTGTCCCCATTAGCTACCCTGATTATCATCACACTGGCCTCATCAGTGGTATGGTTCAGTTCCTTGATCAACCTTTCATCCACAAAGTTGTGGGCACTTTCACTATCAATGAGAATTGATATTTTCCTTCCCTTGGTCATCCCAAGAACTCTAATATTTTTATGTTTCAAGCTTCCAGCTAAAGCACTGAATGAAATCTCTTCTACAGTTCCTTTGTCAGCAACCTCAATTTCTGAATCATTTAATTCAACAACAACCTTCTCCTTGTAGTCTATAGCATCAGCCGTTGATNAACAGCAGAATCGTAATGGTTGAACTGATCTTTCGAGACTGATTTAGCTCCAATCATATTAGTCAACATTGAAATGATCAATTCATTTTTACTTTCCATTTCTACCATCAATTGCTCCATCTTGTCTTGCTTGGTACATACAACTTTCAACTTTTCCTCCCATGATTTTGCAACCGCACCCAGATCTAACACTTTTCTATCTAACCTGCTCAAATGATCTTTATTCGATTTGCTTCTAGTCTCAGCCATATCACCCAAGTCACGTACTGCTCTGATACCAATTGTTATGGTTAAGCTAAAACTCAACCTTAAATCAGCTAAATGTAACCACAACACAGCTCAAACTAATGAATTCCAACAATTAACAATTGAAATGAAGAACAATTTTATTCAATGGAAACTGAAATTGCCATTACAGAATTGAAAGAGTTATTAAGAAAAAGAAAGAGAGAAGAAGAGAGAAGGCAAAGAGAAATTTGAGAGGGAACTTCGCACAAATCAACTCACACTTCTCTTTCCTCATTTCCCTCCTGTTATACCCAAAGAAGGAACGCATTTTCAGCAACAAAATGGATAAAACGTGCTCCTAATGACAATTAAAATTTGGAAATCAAAATGACACCGTTTAATCCAAGTTAAAATGACATCGTCTCAGGCTTTGATTTTAAAATTGGCGGCAGACTACTTCTTCCCTGTAGTAGATTGCCGTCTTCTTCTTGGTGTTCCTCTTGCCTTTGTCTCCCCATCCTAGCTGACTTGCCCTACTATAACAGTTCAATGCATGCAGGCAGCGGAGCATGCTATTTCAATGTATAAAGCATATTAAGAAGTTCGGCTAGCATCACCAAGAAGTATTAAAAATGTTTACCTGTGGCAGAAACCTCCAGATGGCTTTGTTAAAATGAATGTCGATGGAGCTATTTTTTAGGATAATCGAAAAGTTGGTGTGGGAGTGGTACTACGGGATGCTACTAGTGGAGTGTTAATGGCTGCAACAAAAAGGGAGGATGATGTTGATGAGGCGGCTACAATTGAAGCTCTTGCAATACTAAGGGGCTTGCAGCTATGTATACGACTTGGCATTCGCAAGCTTGTGATCGAAAGTGATTGTCTTTTGCTTGTTCAAGAATTGCAAGCTTCATCAGATTCTTTAGCTAATGCAAGTAACATTATTGCTGATGTCAAGCAACTCTTGTCAAGATTTCGGGAAGTCCAAATTCAACATGTTAATCCTATGGGGAATTTTGTAGCTCATGCATTGGCTAGGAATGATTGGAATGTTGCTGATATTTCTGTATGGTGGGATCATCTTCCATTTTTCCTTCAAAATTTTTATGGCTTGATGCCAATTCATGTGTGGATGATGATTGATTATTAATGAATGAATTGTTGTTTATCAAAAAAAAATGATGTGCAAATAAGTCTTTTCACACATTTTTAACAAATTTTTTGGACGAAAATCATTATTGAGATAAGATGTGCTCATTAATGAAATGTTAAAAATAAGAATGAGATGAACAAAAAAATTGAGGGTGACGCTAACAAATGTTTAAAATCTTTCGTGAAATTAAAATGTGGTGCAACTGTAACGTAACAAACAAAATAAAAGATGTAATGTCCATATGACCACTTACCAGTAAATATTTGAAACTATTTTAATTACAAATTACATAAATTTACAAAATTTATAAAGTTGCAATTAATTAAGATTAATTATTTTTTTTTGATACAGTAAAATAAAAAAGATAATTATAAGTAATATTTTTACATTTTAAGATAGCCAAACCATCCCTAAAATCAATATTCATAACCCTACTATTTAAAAATGTTTCCGACCTCACTCCTCCCCATCCTTCGTGCGCTTTATCTACCCCTCTGAAATTTCTTCACCCGAACCTCGGAGGTCTAGGTTCTGCCATAAACAGGTACTCAATGAGCTCAGATTTGTTTAATTTTTGCCGTTGGCTTCTTAAGCTAGGTGGTTATTCAACTAAGGAAAATGACTGATCAAGTGTTGGAAATAGTTAAAATTTGGGAAAAGCGTTTTTCTATATTGAATCAAGTGTTTCATTACAATATATTGAATGAAATTGGTTTTATTCTAGCATACTTAGGAAGGGTGGATGAAGGTACTGTAACAATTCGTCATTTTCATATATTGAAAATGAAAAAGGAAGGTCATGAATGAATTGGATGATACATCATTAACAACTCGGATGCTTTTCATTTTATGCTGGTTGTTTTGTAAACGTTTATCGTGACATATTTTCTGTTGTTAGCTTGGTTAGATTTTTGAAGGATAAAATTAGAAAATTAATATTCATTGTTTTAGGGTTTAGGAGAATTTTGCTAACTCAGATCGTTGCGATCTTATATAGTTTCTGGAACAAAATTTGAAGAACAAAAGAAAAATTGCAGTACGCAGATGTTTGGTGATTGGGACTTTATTGTTTTAAATCTGTTCTCCCTGAATGCCTTGGGCATTTTACAGACTGCATCAAATTTTCAAGTAAAAATTTGGGATTATGTGGAATCAAAGAGTGGTTGTGTTTGCCCTTCGAATATGTTTGTTTATTGATATTTACTTTGATGGATGTAAAATCTTTGAATTTAGAGTCACAAATTTATTTTTTGCTATCTGAAATTATCAATCATAAATAGAATGACAGTTTTGCCTTGACAAAACTAATAAATATGGACTGAGGAACATAATATTTGTTTGATGAATTTCATATTCAGTACACTGTTTAATTAATTAAATTTCCCTTTATTACTTGGTCTCCTCTAAGATAATTTTGTTTTTAACTAGTTGCAGAGGATAACAGGTATTCATTATTTTCCCTTCGAGTCTAAAGTTGTGCTGAAGAGAAAGATTAAATTGTGATGACTTAAAGGTCTATCAATGGCCCTGAATACCATACATAAATCACAGCACTGCTCTTGATCCATCATTGTATCTTGATACATTGTTTCTACTAGTCCTTAAAACCATGAAACTAGCTGCACTTTGTAGATCTATAAGTTCCCATCTTAATGTTAGCGGAATAACACGGCCTTTGCAATATCGTTCATTTCAACCTGATTTTGTTCCAAGGGATCCCAATGCCAAGCCCAAGAAATACAAGTACCCTGCTGTATATGATCCATATGGGCCAAGACCTCCACCATCTGACAAGATCATTCAGCTTGCAGAACAAATCGCATCCCTTACACCTGAAGAGCGTAGTCAAATTGGTCCAGCCCTTAGAGACAAAGTAATGCTTCCCAAGCTGCAGCCCATTTCAGTAGAAGGCATGGACTTAGGCAGCCAAGCTGGGGCAGGTGCTGGATCTTCAAAGGCCGAGGAGAAAAAGGCAGAGAAAACCACGTTCGATGTCAAGTTGGAGAAATTTGAAGCGGCTGCAAAAATCAAGGTGATCAAAGAGGTTCGTTCATTTACAGATCTGGGACTGAAGGAGGCTAAAGAGTTGGTCGAGAAAGTGCCAGTGATACTTAAGCAACAGATCACAAAAGAGGAGGCAAATAGTATCATCGAAAAAATCAAAGCTGCTGGAGGAGTGGCTGTGATGGAATAGTGTGTTAGTCTAGTTTTGTAGGGTGGTGTTTAGTTTTTCATTATCAGAAAGGAGGGATTTCAAATGCCAAAGCATCGGATGGATACTTTTCAAGATTTGAGGGGAATAAATATTTGACACTTTAATTCTGTGTTTGTAGACTTGAACCCTGTTAAGTCTGCCAGTAACTTTTTATTTTTAAATGAGCAAGCAGTAATCAAAGGTGAATGTTAGTGATTAGTCATTTAATTAACTTTCAAGTTTTAACATCGTTTATGGTCATGTAGGGTTTTCATCCATCACGTGGATTTTTTTGCTCACTTGGACCAATGGAAATGAGATGGATGATGGATGAGTAACGTTATGTATAAGTGAGTGAGCACTCAATAACATTTTATTTTGAGTAAGCGAGTAGTAATCATAGATAAAAGTTATTTATCATTTAATTAACTCAATGGAGTACCTTAATTCGAGATTGGTTGGACTAATATGTTCTATTTTAGCTTTTTGTATTAGTGCATTTGTTTCAAGAATATTGCTATGTGTACATAGCAATACACATAAGGGTGTACATAATGTGAGAGCTGTAGTGCGGGCTCCATCCCTCTCATATTATGTACACCCCTATGTACCATAGCATGATCCTTGTTTCAAAGACCTCAATGGATCACATCTATCACATTTCCGGTTTCAAAATATGTAATTTATTGTGTTGGTTAGAGTCTTACCAATTTAATTGTAATTATTGATTTTCTTCTTCTTTCAGAGGACGTGCCTCCGTCCCCCCACAGACAGCACTCAAAATTATACTTATTCCATCTAGTGTTGGACCTGTTGATTTAAATGCTAGGGGTTTGTGCCATTCTTCAACTTTTTCTCTCTCTATAAACCAAATTAAAATTGGGTTTCATGTTAATTTCTCTAATAGGGTAACTATATTGGAATCATTCATAAATTTCAATTACTGGTTTGAACTAAAGTAAATTTTAAGGACCAAGTTGAAATTTTGCTTCACTCATCAAATATTCAATTCGCAGAGGCTAGTGTTAACATAATATTTCTACACTCGTGCTACATGTACATAATACGTTTACGTACACATGACAAGGTGGCATATAATTGGAACATAATTTCTTTAACCAAATAAAAAAAATCTCTCTTTTTGATATTTCATCTGTATGTAAATAACTACTTATGTACAAGTAGCATTATTCATATTTCTTACTTTCATAATTAACTTAGTAGGGAAAAGAAATGTATCTTCATGTGTTAAATTTGAAACACATTTGGTATGTTGGATTCGATAAGACTGTGTTATAATAGACAAATATCTTGTGTGTGTTGTTTAATCATATTTAGTGCAACATACAAAATGTCCTTGGGGGTCCGAAAGAGCCACAATATATACTTTGGTGAGGGATTGAACAATAAGGCACTACTAGTGCTTAATATACAACAATCCCAATTGATCTTTCCTTTTTAGTAAGTACTAATGGATCATTCCAAGTAAAAGGGGGTTGAATACCTAAACATTTATTGTCAACCTTCCACCCTGATTTATTTGTAATTCAATCATATGCTTATGTTATATCAAAAGAATATACTATACTAATCTAAATGGCCCCTGATATGGGGTGGCCTCCAACAATGATCAAAGGCATTTGCAAATCTGTGAAACTGATTATTGCTGAGACTCGGACAATGATGGTGAATGCAGGGATAATGGCTGACTACTTCTGCTGGTTGTAACTTCCACTACAGTTTCGTCTCGTGCCGGAACATGCAGAAATGACTTCATAACATCATATACAGTGAATCCAATTGCCACTGAGGGTACGACCTGAAGATATCATTTGTAGTCTTTAGATGAAAGCCAACGGTTAAATATTCCCCGGTGGTCACTAAACTTCTAGCGAAATCCGTACCTTCAAGTAGTTGATGCTAAGACCAGAAAATAATTGTTGCCATCCTTCTCTTCGGACAATCATAACTAGAGTTTCCATTGTGTTTTTCATGTCACCACCGTTAGATCTCAAGACACGCTGCACCTGCAAGAGTTTTAATTTTTCTATTAAGCTTTTTGAATTTGAATCAAGGACAGCATAATGTTTTTGTCCATATGAGGCAACAAGTGAATTACCTGCATTTGCCGCCTAGCGACATCGAGAGGATAAGTGAAAGTCTGACCCAATAAACCTGCAACTGATCCGCACACAAGTTTTACTGTAATGTCTTTCCTGTGTTTTTCAGGGACATTACGCTTCATTTCCTCGTAGAAATAGAATTTTAGTCCCGCATAAGGGAAGATCCCATATAGTGATGGAGCTGATTACACACATAACGATAAGTAAGAGTCTACAAAATTTTTATCATAACCACAGTTACACTTTACATACCAACACCTCGGTAGAGGCCCCTAATACCAGCCTCCTTGTAAGTCTGGGAGAAGCAATCTCGAATTCCTTTATAAACTTGTTCTCTGGGTACGAGCCCTTTAACATTCAGCTTTGAGGAATCAGAAACCTGCACTATCTTTTGCAAATCAGCCTTCGACTTTTGAGAAACCATAACATGGAATAGAATTATCATATACAAGGAGAGAATGAGAATTTGAACCATGAGAGCATGTGAGGGGGTGGTTTGTGTCCGAACTCTGCGTGTGTGCGCGTGCGAGAGAGAGAGAGAGAGAGAGAGAGAGAGAGAGTAGAAGTGATATTGTTGTCTTATTGCTTGCCTGATATGCCAATTTAGTCCGGACTAAATCGAGTGGATAAGTGAAAAGTACAGCTGTTCCTCCAGCAAATGATCCAGCTATGAGATCAAGGACAGGACCTCTCCCAACGCCAGGATAACCAAGAATGATCCATCGCCGGTATTGTTCATAAGCCATATAGTGCAATGCTGCATAAGGCACTATACGCGCAATGCTAGCTCCATTCCCTCTAATAACAACCCCCATCAAATGCTTATGTAAGATTAAGGAAAGGACTGTGTTAGGAATAATAATAAACTTCGGATGAACCATAATCTCAACAATTAATTAAGGAAAATAATTGTACCTATAAAAACCAAGCACCCCTTCTGTTTTTGCAATTTTTGTGAAGGAACCAGATAGTCCGAGACTTTTAAATTCAGCCCGTCTAGTCTGGTTAATGGAAAAAAGAATAAATTACAGAAAATAAATTTATTCTCTAGACCTGCATTACAAACAATGTGTACTTTCAGGATAGTAGTGCAAATTGCAAAGTACTTACAAGAACAAGAAGAAGAAACCAACTCCTATTTTTCAAGAAATGTACGGTGAGCTAAATAGTCATTTTTCACCAATTAGATTGATCGTTACATCCACAAGAGGCCATGTTTATTTTTTTTTTTCTAACCTATTCTATAAGGATGGCACCACTCCTGTGAGCACAAACTTCTTTTAAGTCTATGCATGACATGCCCCAACCACATAAGTTGTCATTTCCTCGTTTTATTCTCGTTTGGTGTAATCTCCAACTGTTGGCATATATTCTCATTGCTTATTTTATCTGTTCTACTATGATCATACATCGATCATAAAATTCTCATTTGCATTTGCTTTGGATGTTGCTCTTTAACCACACAACACTCACGTAGAATCCTTGCAGATTTCTCCATTTCATCCAGTGGACTATATTGGACCTAAGAACTCAAACAATCACTCTTTGAGACAACATAATCATCTTTAGTGACTCCACTAGCATCCTTATTCCTAATATGACTTAAAAGACATTTTATATATTTTGACTTAATTCTACTAAACCTAAAACCTTTAGGCCCTGTTTGATTGAGCCCATTTTCCATGGAAAATGGAAAAGCTTTTCCATTTCCACACATTTGTAGTATTTGATATGCTTTATTTTCCCCAGAAATTGTTTTCCTCCCCCAGCAGCCACGCGCCTGTTTTCTTGGAAATTGAGGAATTGGTTTTCTTTAGGTTTTGGTGGGAATTTTGTTTTCCAGCTTTTTTTTCTTTCTTCTTTTCTTTTTATTTTTTAACAATTGGAAAATATTCTACACAAGATGATAAAAAAATTATCACTTTTATTGATAGGCCTTGTTTGAGCCAAATTATTATAGAATGAGAATGAATATTATAGCCGTTATTGGGTCCCATACAAGAGATAGAAAATTTGATTTTAAATGTTGATGTGATGGATAACGGTCATATTTTTCATTTTAATGAGAAAATAAGGTGGCCCAAACGGGGGCTTATCAGTTACAGTACTATTGTAGAATGAGAATGAAAAATATAGTCGTTATTGAAGCCCACATAAGAGATAGAAAATTTGAATTTAAATGTTGATGTGATGAATAACGGTCATATTTTTCATTTTAATGAGATAATAATGTAAATCAAATTGGGGCATAATTTTCATGTAAAACAAAGCCAAACGAATGATATTTGGTATGATTTTTTAAAATTTTTAAAAAAAAAAAAAATTTTGGGCAATTGGAACAAATACTGACCTAATGGTAAAAAAAAATTATCATTTTAATGGACAATTTTCATGAAAAACAAAGTCAAACGGACACCAAACTTTCAACATTTTCTAGGTGAAATATTATACCAATCAAACACAATTAATTACAATTCCCAATAAAACAATTTCTAGTTAATTCAATTCTCCGGAATTCATTTTCTTTCCACCCATTTTCCACATTTACAATCAAACGAACCCTTAGATTCCAAAGTTTTCCTTACAGGTTCAGACCAATGATATATCCCCTTCTAGTTTCATCAACTAATAAGCGCCATCTACTAGTAGCATACATCAAGGATCTCATGTTGGATATGTTATGTAAGCTTGTCTATGACTAAAAAAAATATATAAGGACTCAGGCAGAAAGAAGTACAAAGACTCGTTCAAAGTTTTAACACGGAAGATGTTCCCCGAACATCAAGATGATTGATCACTAAAGAGCTCTTTTCTCATGTGCGATCCTCGTCTTCCTATACAGGGCATCGTGATTTGATCAGAAGTTGACCAAATGGAATTAAAATTAAATATGTAAACCAACTCCAACCGATAAACATCCTCACCAACCAGAAAAATGAAATTCATATACGCGAAACAACAATATCATTAGCTTTAATGACATCGAGCAGAGAAGAGTTGGCTTTAGTTGAGTTCACAATTGATGAGTGTATTTCACTCCTTTTTTAAACATCATCTAAACTTGATATTTAACTAATTTTTACGAGTTTTAGAGCGTTTTAATGTGTGTTTTGATATTGTGATATATGTCGATTAAAATGAAGGAAATAAGCAAAAGTTAGCAAAATTGGAGAAGATGACTAAATTGTAAGAGATCCAAAGTTGGAAGACTAAAGTAAAAATACTCTAAAATTGTGTCGGACCTCAAAATGAAGATTCAAGAGTGTTATGAGTCAATTGGATGAAGAAAGAAGTCAAATGGATGAAATATAGACAAAGTATGATCACACATCAATTTCCAACCGAAAAGTTGTGCTTCGGATTTTATGTCTCATATTGAGACTCATTTTTGACATAACAAACTTTTGAATTGGAAAATGATATCTAATACAAAGTTGTAGCCCTTAGAATTATCTTTCCAACGCATCTTTAATCGCCTCAATTGGATATCGGGAGAAAAAATTATGATAAAAATTCTGAAGGATACACATTGCTGAATTTTCATCCGAAACTGGGGCACCGCAGCGCCACCGTTGCTGAAATTCAACAGCAAGAAAAAAGGTTTTGAGTTTTTTAGACTATTTTCTTGGCCCAACACGACTTCAACCCTTCCAAAACTTCAAAATACAGGCAAGGGGGAATTCAACACAATTCTTCAAGAAGATGAGGAAAAACATCAAGAAATCCAAGAGCAAGACAAAGAAGAACAAGATAAGAAATTGAAGATCTACCTCCTAGTTTTTCTATTCTCTTCCTTATGTCATTTTATATGAATTTTAACATTTTCATAGATTACATCATGAGCTAAATTCACAATCTTGGGTTTGATTGTAGCCAAAAACTTGAGAATATGGATTGATTAATTTTAGTTATTTCTATTAGATTTTCCGCATGTGTTTATTTGTATTATGATTTTAATGCTTTCAATTAAATAGTCACTAATTGAATAATTCAATGCTAGTCAATTCCGGAACTCGAGAGGGGGGGAGTCTAGGCGTGATCATAAGAATAACACAAGCTAGGAAAGTATAGGTTTTGAGAGAGAGTATAATTCATTTGAAGCATGTTCCATTTAAGAACCACGAACTTGATAGATTCTATATTTTAATTCGGAATAGAGATATTGGAATTGAAATATAGAAATAGTTTTTACTCGGCACTTGAGAAATGGAGTAAAATTACGTTAGTGTTCTTGCTTATAAATTTTGAAATTTTGATTAGAAATAATTATATAATTGAGAGTCATATTTGATAGTTAGGTGAAATCATAACTCTATGTTTCCTCGCTTGATTATTCTTCTAACTTGCATTTATTTGTTGAATTTGTCACCATATTAGTTTTAAAAAAACATTGATTATAAAATTCATTCATCTTGATAAAATATATGCTATTTAATTATAGTACTTAGTAGACATTTGAATTACAATCTCTGTGGGTTCGACATTCTAACTTCATTATTATATTACAAAACCTGACACCGTACACTTGCAGCATAAATAACGTTATAGAAAACGCGTGACAAGTTTTTAGCTAAGTTTACTTTCACCAGCTAAACCCAGCCTGATTTATTTCAATGTAGATCAAAGCAAATGCAGCCTAATTACATATAATCAGAAGGAAAGATGATTAAACTGTTTATTGTCGTGTCTATCGAAATATTTCTATAAACTTCTATCGGTAAACGTCATTTGCTCTTTCTTTTTGTCCCTTTTTCACGTAAGTGCACCATTCATGTGCAAGAGTGAAGATGTTTTTGGAACCATACGTCTGAAAGTTCAGAAGAAGATTCTTTACACTAAAAGTGTAGAGATGTTGAATTAGTGAAAGGAAAACTGTAATACATATAAGTTATACACAGGCTCAAGTTCCTATGCAATTTGTGAAGGAATTAGACAACATTTCAAAACGTACAGTCTTTCATGAACCATATTTCGACTAGACACGAAAATTTTAATTGGTTGTACGATTACCTATATGTAACCCTTCCGCTCATATTGTTTTAATGATTGTATATGAGTTTGCAATTTTATTTCACTGGATCTTTCAATTCGTGCAGTGCTAGAACGCAAGAAAAGTCAAAAAGGATTTATGCAGTTGAACCCAGCTCTTTTGAGAATGAGGTTTATATTTTTGTTTTGCTGTTGTTATATGGTAGATTGATGAATGATTAACAATTTAGATTCTTATTCAGCAAAGCCTGTTGACAATATATTACAAGTACTAATAGAGCATATACACAACATTAATTGCCAAAAAAGTCCCTACTATCCAATATAATTGATGCCATATAGATGCAGGAAAACAGAGTAAAATTTTAGGTACGGTAGAGAAGTTTCTCTTGTGCCTCGCATCTTTCACTAGCTGTAAAATTTTGGAACACTCTCTCTTGCATCACGCATTTATCACTTTTGGAATCCAATTACCAAATATAAACACCTATTTTTTCGGTGAATCTTAATTTGGTGTATAGGCGATATCAATATTAGAAAAATGGTCATTTCAACAAAGTTCGAACAGAAAAGCCTATTAGTGTTTAATTGACAAGTCCAACAACTATCAAAAAATATCCACTCAATATAATTTTGTTTCTTCTTCTATGAATTTTCAGACAAATACATTCAAGTATCTGTCTGTGCGCTCAATTTCCAACAATGCTGAGGAATAATGGAGCATCAAACTCCGGAATCACAAATAAGAGAATCCCGTTCATCACCCTCAAGAATAAAAATTATAAGAAAGACCTAATTATATACAACTTAATACCCACTATTACTAGACAAATTTCGTATTAAACTCCATAATAGAAATGATCATTCTTCACTGTCTGATCTGAAACCACCCAAGTTCGACAAGTTAACCATAACGAAAATGAGAAAATTTAAATCTGCAAATATTTACCCAAACAATTAGTTAGAATTCTAAAGCTAAAGCAATAGTTACCTGAAACAAGATCTTGAGACGTTCAAGAGGCGCAACAACAGTCTTGGCAAATCCACCAGCTACCCCACCAGCAATCAACTCCTTTGCAAAAACAGGCATGCCATCAATTAACCGATTCCCCAACAGTTCCCCCCTTTCTCTCTCCTCTCTATTTTCTTCCATTAAACCGTCAGTAAAAATACCCTTTATTTACTCTTTCAAGATTTGTGCGTGCACAGAGAAAGAAGGGAAAAAAGGACGAGCCCAGAAACTCTTTTGCGATTCTGGGTTGGAAAATTATGGCTTTGAGTTTGAGGGTGTGTTTCAGTCAAAGTTATTTTTGGAATAATATATTTTGGAATGGTAAATTGGGAAAGATTGTTTGATTGAAAAAGAAGGAAAATTTATTAACATGATAAAAATATTATTTTATTGAAAATATATATTTAAAAATAAATAAAAGAATGAACGTACTCAAACATAAGCTGAATTAGTTGCTCTGTTACTCTTTAAATTCAATTTTCATGTTTTCAGAGTAGTCAGAGAGGTCAGGCGTCACTGTTCTTAAATTCCAAACGTGTACATAAGGAGAAGCGAAGCCAAGAAGTTGTACAAGTATAATCTTCCTTAATTTTATGGGTTTAATTACTACTTAAGTTTTAAAATGTTACATTAATTCTAAGAATAATGTTATTTGTACAAAATTTGCATGTCATGTGACAGATGATGTGCGATGTAATGATAAAATCAATTAAATTTGTGAATATGAACCTTGTATTATTGATCTTATCATTTATGGCATGTTTGGGTCGGATTAAAATCTGATTTTAATTCAAGTCAAAGTCAAACAATTAATATTAACCATATCTTTCGTGAGTCCCACATCTTTTCAACCACACATTTTAAAAACTTCTATCACAATCCACTAAAAATCTAATTTTAATATCCACCAAACACCATTTTAATATTATATCAAATATAAAGCATTCTCACTTTTATAAATAGCATTACTAGTCAAAAAATAAATATTAAATACTTTGTGGTATCATTAGTTATTGAATGATAGTAGGAGTGGGTAGGGTCGAGTTACGTATGATTTTGAAGTGACCTGAACCGAGTATAATTGGAATTTTTAAAATGGAACTATTGATTTCATATTTAACTATGAAATCGAGTCAATCGGTTCTGACATGTTCTGATTCTTTATATTGAAAAATATATATATAAATTGAGTATAAAAACACTTGCCAAATGGAAAATTGACAACTAGTTTATAGAATTGTATAGTATTTATAAAATTATTTAGGTATAAATTTGAATTACCATCAAATATTCAAATTTGGCTTGAAAAGGAAAGAATCAAAGAAGAGAGAATGAAAGAATCGAAGAAGAATAAAGCCAAGCATACAGGGTAATATTGCCAGGTGGTTTACAGGGTAATTTGAAATGGTGACGTGTAGTCAATTAAAAAACGAAGAAGAAGAAAGCTTATGGAGTGAAATGAAATGGGAAACCACGTAAAGCCACCAATTGGTTTTGAAAATACTCGAACCCACATTTTACCTTTTCATTTCCTCCCAAGCGTGAAATCCGGCGACTCCACCCAAGCTATCGCCTACTCGACTGCCGTCCGACCAACCATCTTCCCGACCTACAACTACTTTCCACGTGAGCCAAACTAACGGCAACAACCTTCATTTCGTCCATTTCCTCGAATCGCGAAATCCAACAATTCCTCCAGTGAGTGCCGCCCGCCAATCTATCTTCTCCACCTCCAAGTATTTCCCACACAAGGCAAACTTTAGGCAACAGTTCGAAAGGCAGAAAATCCTTGAAGCCGTGAGTTAGTTCGTCAGTCCATTAATCTCAATCTCCGTGTCTTTTACTAGCCATTCCACATGAAGTATTGTCGATATTCTCGTTTTGTATTTGATAATGTGATTAATTTTTTGTGACAATTTTTTTTCAATCTGTGATTATTTGGCAGAAATGTGTCATGGGTTTATATGTATATGAAACTTGATTTTTTTTTATGTATTTATTGTAGTGTGATTGGTTTCGCTTAACGTCACCGATTATTTTCTAGTAGAAAAATAAATTACGGAAGATGTGCATGATAATTTTGTGGCTGATTCCGAAAATGAGAATGTTGTTGAGAATACGACTAAGTGAAAGAAGAAAGTTTAGGAGATGAGGGTCTGATTGTGCCCGAGGTGAGTATACAGTTTAAGAATGAAAAAAAAATGTTGAGTCCTACAAAAGATATGCATATGATATACGTTTTTCAGTTAGGAAAAGGAATTCGAAAAGGCGGGACGATAGACTTCTAAGGTGCAGTCGTAAAGGCAGAAGAAGCGCTAATCTCATTGGTTTGTTGAAGCCTCCACCAACAAGTCAGACAGATTGTAAAGTTTGGATCCCTACATCTTCAGATATTCATGAAACTTGAAGAATCAACACAATCCATCTTGAGTACAATTATAAAACAAGTCCTTCAAAGTCCACGTTTTACCGTTGCAATCATGAATTGCCGGCACATGCGAAAAGGAAGGTTGAATGGAATGATTTGGCAGGAATTTTGTTGTAGAAAAGTTTCGACTCTGCCTTTGTTGAAGCAGTTGGATATGAGAATTTAACTTATGTGGAAAAAGAGTGTTGAAACTACATTAAACAAGTGAATGATTACGACTTTCATATTGCAGCACTAACTAAATGGGAAATATGAATTACACAAATAATGTATAAAATACAAACAACCAAGTAATGCAAAATATGAATTACCCCACTAAGGAATTATATAGAATCAGGGCTACAGGGGTAGAAATAAAATACCGGATTTCTCAAAACAACTGTTGGGTATTTGATGTAATTGGCAAGTCTGTGAACAAAAGGGACCAAAATTTATATTTTGTAAAAGTCAAGGAGTAATGTGCAATTAGTGAAAATTGTGTTATTTTAGGTTTAGGGTTCGAGAATTGAAAAGAAGGAAAAACGGCGCCGCAATTTCGCTAGACTGTCGCAAAGACTTGGCTCGAGCGTTAGAAACAGTAACACCGTCACTAGCCTGTCGCTAAGTGTCAGGAGTTTTTACCCAATTGGGGTTTCTCCGTGATCAATTCTGTGTTTATTTATTACTTTTATATTTGCGGTAATTCAACATAGGAGAAAACTGAATTGTATAATTAAACATCTAGAAATAATTAATAGTGACTTGTTGCTATTTAATTAGTAAGTTTTTAATTCCGCGTAATTATCTATTCACTCCCCTCTAGGTGTACTTTGGGTCAAAATTTGTATTTTTAATTAGTAGCAGAGCCTTATTTTGATTATTGACCCGTAATTAATTCTAGATGAGTCAGTCCTTATCTGTGCCTCTATTTTTCGACAGAAGTAACTATGCTTATTGAAAAGTTCGAATGTGAGCTTTTCTTAAAGCATTGGACGAGCATATTTGGATGAGCGTTCAAACTGGGTGGGCTGCACCTTCAACTACTATTACTGGTGTAGCTACACCCACTGATGTTTCACTCTGGACTAAAGATGACTTAACTGAGTGTAATTGGAACAGTAAGGGCATTTCTGCCTTGCATTGTTGTATCTGCTGAAGAGTTTAGGAGAGTATCGATATGCGAAACTGCTAAAAAAATTTGGGATATATTAGAAATCACACACGAAGGAACTAAATTGTTAAAAACTCTAAACTGCAGATGTTGACCTCTAGGTTTGAAGAAATTAGAATGAAGGACGATGAATCGTTTGATGAATTTTATGCGAAGTTTAATGATATAATTAACTCTAGTTTCAACCTAGGAGAGAAAATCCCCGAATCTAAAATCGTTAGAAAAGTCCTTAAATCCTACCTGAAAGGTATAAACCTAAAGTCACTGCGATTGAAGAAAGTAAGGACTTTGATGCAGTTAAGATAAAAGAACTCGTAGGATCCTTACAAACCTATGAACTTGGATGCAGTTAAGATTGTAGCGTCAATTTCGACTTAATCAAGGGTTGTAACGCTGCCTTTGGAGAATGACAAATTGGGGGAAAGCTAACTTAATAAGGATGGGTTGAGGTGCTGTCGGAGGTTAAGACAAGTTCGTCGGTGTTTGGTTGTCGTTAGGAGTTGAAGGAGGGATATGGTTTTGGAGGGGAAAATTTTGGAGAGGAAGTTCAGGGTTTCAAATTGGGGATTGTTGGGAGAGAAGAGTCAAGACGCATGTTTATTTTTTTCTCTTTCCACATTGGCCTTGTAAATGACCCGTGAGAAGTCACCCTATACACCAAGCGCAACTGATAGAAGAAATAAAAACAGAGAATGAAATTGGAAACATGACTGATGAGAGAGAATGTGAGAGAAAAAGAACGCGGGTGTTATAATTTACCAAAGTGTTGAAAAGAAGAAGACTTAGGAGAATGGTGAAATTTCCAAAATCAAATTCACTTGCTCGTTTGAACCAACAGAGGATTACAACTAAGACATTATTAGCTATTGCAAAAAAAAAAGTAGAAACAAAGAAAGAAAACAGATTGTGCATTGGAATTGTAGGCTCTATGTGCTTTTGTATGAGAGAGAGAGAGAGAGAGAGTAAACAGCCCACATGCCCTCTATTATTAATCATATTAATCATGAATGTTCTCCTCTAAGATGTACAAATCATACAAATGACATGTTCATCACTGACTGACTACAAATGAATGTATATTCCAAAACTCCAACCCTATTTTCAACAAAGAATTTCACTTTTCTATCTACTTCCATATTTACCCTTCAACAAATCAAACAATAACAACAAAACAATCCATCGTAACTCCAATTTCACAGGTTAACTAACCCACTGTCATCTTTTTTGTCGAGAGCCGAGTCTTTATTGGTTTTAGTTTCAATCCCATACTTTCGGGAGAGAGAAGTTCTGGAGCAATGCAAGAAGGGCTAAGCGGACTCCTCGGGCTCCCAATAAATTGGCTTGGTCTGTAGAGCCCATACCCAATCAGAAAGTACTCCACGGGTATTAACATTGCATGTGGCTGTTCTTCTGTCACCATCGATCCGCATGCCTGTACCTGCATAATGTCATTCTTCCATGAGCACTATATAATTCCAACTGCATTAATCTACTTTTCATCAGGATATGAAATGATTGATACGATGCTATAATTGGATAAAAGATCCAACAACTGTTGCCAGCTATGATCAATTCATGTCTCAGCATTCACAAGGACAAATCTTTTAGAATCATAAACCATTAATGGGGGTGGCATGTCCAACATGCCACAATGTGTATTTTCTACAGAATTAAATCAAAACTCATTTGTCGGCATTTCCATGCTTCTTAGATCATAAAGAAATCATTGTGATAGAGATACAACAAAATATTATGGCCTGTCGTAATCAAATTCAAATAGCCCATCATAATATGTTCGATGCATACCTCAACTAAGGCACTGTATCTTCTGTCCAGTTTAGCAGTCATGTGGAGAGCCTCGGAATGGTAAGGAGAGTTCTCCCCGACAAATATCAAAGTTCGACATTTTAGAGTCTTCAGTCCTTCAGTAATGTCAGGTCTCCTGCTCAATGGTCAACAAAGCTTTAAAGAGGTTGAATCTTAAGTAAAGGTGAATTTAAGGAAAAACTTGCAATGCAAAAAGCTATAAAAGGTCAACCACTTTTACCTATCTATTGCTTGAAGAAACCGCAAGACATTTATACTTTGCCTCTCATCCAGCAGCTGAAAATGTAAATAAATGAATTGACAAAATTACACTCCTGTTATATTCTTCAAACTGTGTTGCATGGTATAAAGTATACACAAATCAATTTTCTTCGGAGAGAGAAAACATAAAATACTGACTCTTCTGCATGCTTGAACGATGTCTGATTCTGGAACCTCAGCACAGCCACGAACTTCCTGAAACAATTGGAAGCAAATTTAGTACTCAGCATGGATATCCAAAAAAAAAAAAAGAAATGTGGCTAGAAAGAGTTAACAAGGAAAAACTTCAACCAAAGAGAAATACTAGATACCTTGCTGAAGTACCGGTAAAGTAAACATTCCTTCACCAGACCACACATACCATAGAAATAGAGCAAATTTGACATCACCTACAAATTTCAAATTATATTAAAGATTATCCTTCAAAAATACAATTTTAATATACAAATGATAAGGCATACATATCGAACCTTATTGCAGAGCCATTCAGTCCAAGATGGAGCTTTGCACAGAGGAGAAACAAGGATCAAACCAAGAACCCGCTCCCTATATTTTATCTGTGAGATAACCCTCTGTCAGTCATAAAATTGTACTTGTATAACAATTATAATGTTACAAAGAAAACGTACAGCAAACAGGGAGAGGATGTAAGCACCAGCCGTTACACCCATGCACATCACTGCATCAAGCCTGACAAAAGTTAAATTCATCCTATTAGGAAAATCTTTCTAATGATGATTCTAATAACAGGCAACAAAAGAGAAGCACGTCGATCAGAAATGGAGATGCAAACCATTAAATTTATCCAAATAATACTGAATGCAGTAAAATACTTACCTAAAATAGTTAAGAACATCAAGAATTTGATTGGCTAAGTCATCAACAGAAGGCACAGGATTATCTTGACAAATTGCAGCCGCTCGCAACTGCAAGAACTCTTATCAGAGTCACATAAAAAAATCAACATGAGCAATATTTTTCAAGAATAATGTGTCACGAAAGTTATAAACGACTGCTACAGAAATGGAGTAAATCAATGATATGACCACTAACAAAATTTTCCACTTTACAGACCTCATGCCCAGGAGGATTAATGTGGTAAATGCAGAAATTGTGAAGCAGCAAAGAAGCAGCTTCTGGACAAAAGAACAATCCTTGGAAACAAGACATATCTATACAAAATACACAAAACATAAAAATTCATCACACTGCAAGCAAATATACGGATTGCCATGCAGATCAAAAGATTTAACAGATGATAATATATAAAAAAAAGAACCCTGTATACTAAGGCAAATTTGTTACTCACGATTTAAAGCTAAATCAGGATAAGTGACCAGAGCTGGCTTGTCTTGATCTCCATAAACTATAACACACACAGAACCACAGCCAGTTCGTACAAAATGTTCCTGAGTGAAGAACGTTTGAGTTAGATTATAGACAATAGTTCACAATCATTTCTAAAATCGTATTTTCGAATATTTAACAATTCAAAATAAAGACAAAAGGTGCTATTTTACCCGTAGGTCCCCCTGGCCAGGGATACTCATTTGTTTTGTGTGAACATGCTTCAAGTAAAGGAAAACTCCCATTTTTATACTAAAAAAAACAAATGGTTTATTATTATTCTAAAAAGGAGCTACCATGTGCACAGAACCCCTCTTCTGCCAGCTTGCTACATCAGCTGACTATTTAACAACAATAAAAAGTGAAAACAAAAAGGGTTTTTTTCAATCATTGGAGACTTAGAAATTAACTCCAGATCAAGAAAAGTATGGTAACTAATGCAAATTTTATTACACTGACAGATATAACAATAGAATAATGATTGCAACTTCCAACAACTAGAAAAACAAACAGAATAGACAGATCAACATCCGAGCTGTATTTATTGTTTATTTAAAACAAACGAAGTATTTGGTGCGGCAATTTTAACTAATAACATTGAGGAATTAAAAGACAACACGACGTGTGTGCAGGGAAATAGAAATCTAATTTCTAATTGCATTAAACATTTATATAAGAGGTCATTATATAAGATGTCTACTTCTCAACCAATCCCCATTCAAGAATACGGATTTTATATCTGAGAATAGAGATAAGATTCATTTTCTGATGTTAGAACTTATCCCAAAATGCCATTTGGCTAAGCTGAAGTCATTTTTATAATGAACTAACGCGCAAGATCTTGTATCTACCATATTAGCCGTCCTAACATCTTGTTTCGAAGAAATAAAAATGTCAAGAATTACAAAGAAACATAACCACCCAAGAATCTTTCAGAAAATAACAAATTTTGGCACGTTTACAAGATAACATTTGCAAGAGAGAATCAAATTCAAAAGAAGCTCAAGTAGCAAATAGAGAATTGAAAATGTTTGGTTTTGTGCAGTAAATGACCAATTGAACATGTGTAGAAAGCAGATCTAAAATCATGCCAACAAGTTCAAAAATGTAATTTTACATCAAGAACTTTAATTTCCAGCTAAAATTGGAAAATTATGAATCAGAAGTGGAAATGAAACGGAATACACACCAAGAATTGGAAATAATGCATACCCAGATAGGAAGAAATAAAAGAAAACTGAAATTGAATACGGCGAAATATAAACCCATTAATCATACGCAAAATGTAAACCCTCAAACTTGTATTATTGTATCAATTAAAATAGTAAGCATATATTGCAGAAGAAATTGAACCTTTCCGCCGAGATAGATGGTCTCCACATCAACAGAAACGGAATCGCTGCTTGATTCACCCATGGCTGTCGGTTCTCGCCCTCTCCTCTCCTCTCCTCTCCTCTCCTCTCTCCCTCTCTAAATTCTTCTATATATATATTTATATGTGTGGTTGAAGAGAGAATTCTTAGAAAATTTGATGGCTTGTATACGAAGCGATTCTTTATCAGCCCTCCCCTAATTTCTCTCTGAAATTAATCTGCGGGTAACCTCCACCGACGCTTCCTTTTGCTCCCTCTCTCTCCTCCCTTCTCTCCTCCCTTCATTCACTTCTGGAGAGAGAGAAAGACAGAGATTTATGTAGCAACAGTAGTTAACTAGTGACAGCTTGGCACTTTTGACAGCTCACAGAATATGCCGCTCCATCGATACAATTAGATAGGCTCAAAGTCCAACCTTGCCAATGTTTTTGCTCCATTTTGTCCCTTTAGCTATCCCTCCACTTATATTGATTCAATCACCATATCATTTAAAATGTATTGTGTAACGTTTTTGTATATTTATTAATAATAACTGAAATAGTTAGATGTCAAAATTTAAGTGATGGGACAATCTATCTCGAGTCGTTCTTATCTTTATTATGCATCTTAATCCTATTGGCTCGAGAGAGAGACTAGCTTTCGATCATCGAGGTAGTCAAGAACTCAAACCTATAATTAACACGTCTAGTCCTGATTAGTGATTACTATGAAAACAACTTATGTTTGAATATTTAACTGTTGGGACAATATATTATCTTTATTATGCATCTTAATCATATTGGCTCGAGAGAGAGACTATTGTTCGATCATCGAGATAGTCCATCCTGTAATTAACATGTCTAGTCCTGATTAGTGATTATATAAAAACGACTTTAAGTTTGAATATTTAAGTGATGAGACAATATATCTCGAGTCGTTCTTATCTTTATTATGCATCTTAATCCTATTGGCTCGAGAGATAGACTAGTGTTCGATCATCAAGATAGTCAAGTCTATAATTAATACGTCTAATACTGATTAGTGATTACTATGAAAACGACTTAAGTTTGAATATTAACTACTAGTTACTTAAGATTAGTTCTCAAAATCTAATGTTATTGCCCCCTCTCATGCAAGAGAATTTATGGTTTAAATTTTTTTCTCAATTTACAAGTCAGCTCAATTTTATATTTAATATTATTGACGTTTAACACTCATTTAGGTGATAATAATTATGGAATTAAACTACACGTTCAATTAAATACAAAAAATTATAATACATATCTTGACATCTAAATTGGAGTTCAATAACATTTATGTTAAATATCATTATCACAGTATAAATGACAAAAGAGGGTCAATCAAGAGAGGGTTGTATATTAGAGGCCAGCCAGAATTTTTAGTGCCAAATTCAGTTCTCTATCCTATCCAAAGTTATAAAAAATTGAAAAGGTTGAAGAACTGCACAATGCTTTTGTAATTACCCCAATTTTTTAACGATAATGTTGACAAGCTTATATATACTGGTGAATGTTCAATGTGCATTGTTCGTTATTAAGAAATACTTTCTAAGTGCTGCAAAAATAATATTTGCAAATGTGTAAATATTAAATAATTTAGAATTAATACTAAGGAATATATACTCGACAATGAATATTAAATTATTTATTTAATTTTCAATTAATTAAAATTGAATGTTAATTAGCATATATGGACGTAAGAGCCTATTTGGTAAATATTAAAATCCAATTAAAATTGAAAATATAGTCGTTATTGGGTCTCACTCGTCTAATAAAGTCAACAATAAATGCTAATTTTTCAATTTTAATCCGATTTTAATCTCTACCGAACACGTCTTAAGTAACGAAATGAGTTCTTGAATGTGAAATTCTAATTAACTTATAATTAAAATCAATAATATTGAAATGCGTAAATGAATATGAATAATAATTAAATGAATGTGAATATTAATTTATTGAGAATTTATAATATAAAATTCATATATTAATGAAAACATATGGTGAAATGAATCCGTCAAATATATGTATGTACATTGAACATAACTAAGTGATTAAATAAATTAAATACATATTAAAAAATGAAAAGTAATGTATTATTGTAATAATTGAATTATAATAAGGTTAGAATCGTCCAGAAAATAATTCTCACTTAATGTGATATTGAATATATTACAGGTAGATAGCTTGATTTGAAGTATTATGGTCAATTTAACTAACTAGGGCTATGCATTCGTGGAGTTGAAATTTGCTTATGTTTTTCTCTCGTCATAATGTCTTTAAAGAAGTCAACTTCGCTACTTTAATCACGACCGCTTCTTCCTTATGAGATGTCGTCCACTACCAAACAAGCCCTACTACGCATTACCAAATTTGCTGCTGGCTCATGATTTCAATTACCAATACGTATAGGTGGGTACCAACCCTGCGCTGGCCCTATTAAAATTAAAATAATCATCTTACCACTATTATAAATTGGAATTGACTTTTGCAAGAATGAAGTGACACGTTTAATTATTACTTTAATATTAGAGAAATTTGCAATTTGAATCCTCAGCATTTGTAAATTGTTGCTAATATATCATTAACCTCTTTTTAACATAATTTATCTCAAAATTTTCAATTATATAACAAAACTTGTCATTCTTTTAAACAATGAATTTACTTTCCTCTTTAAATAAAAAAAGAAGAAGAAAGAAATTAACAGAAAATAGGAAAAATTGCAAAGGAAGTTCCATAACTTTTTAAAAAGTACAAATAAATTTGACTTAAAACAATTAAATACATATTAACAAAAAAATCAAAAAAGAATTTAGAGAAAGTAAGTATTTCATCTTCTCACCCAAGCCACCTCACCTTAGAGATGACAACCGGGTGGGTCAAGACAGGCATAACGGTCCCCCATCCCATTCGAATTTTCCCCTTGCCTCGGCCCATTGATTTTTTTATTTTTATTTTTTTCATTTGTTTAGTTGGTGAAAATCATTACTTTTTTTTCCAGTTTGTATAATTGTGCATATATCCTTTAGACAGGATATATATTTTTTTCTTTTTGCGTGATTGCAAACTTATATCTTAAAATGGATTTTAAATGGGACCAAGGCCATGTTCTCCATACTAGTCCGGAACAACAACGTCGTCCCGCCCTCACATCAAGTACTCGAATACGAGGGGGAATCCTCTCCTTGTTCAGGAAGAGGTCCCAAGGGTATCGAATTTAATGATTTTTTTTTTTTGCCAGTCCTATTCACTCGTGATCAACCACCATCTCCACAAAACTATCATGTCGACGGACAATACCATCGCCATTTCTATGCATATTCCAATCTTGGTATCTATTTCTCCACCTTCAAATCAAGAAAATAGCAACATGTGTTACGCTTTCAAGATGGATATAATGGATTACATTTGAGATAGAGGCTTCCGAAAGAAGAAAAATGAACCTCCATGAAATGTAGGTGCTCGAGTATAATTAAAAAACTGAGTGAAATGAATCTGAATTCTACTAATCAGTGCCAAATGCACCGTGATATATACAAGTGTGTTAGTAGCAAGAATATTCTAGAAATGAGCAAGAAAACTAAATCCAACAAATTCTAACAGCTAGCTAACAAATTGATTCCAATTCCTGAAAATCAGGAAGTGCAATTCTGTTGATGTCCTTTCCTTCATGTTGTGAGCTAGCTGGAGAATAATTCTAACTCCCCCCTTCAAGGTGGAGTGTATTCAAGCACTCCAAGCTTGTCTTTGAGCAGTTGGAATCTTAAGTGTGACATAGATTTAGTCAACACGTCTGCTGTTTGATCTGAGGAAGGGATGTACTGTATTTTCAGTCGATTCTCAAGTACCTTATCTCTTACAAAGTGTGCATCTAGTTCTATGTGTGTTAGTACGAGCGTGATATACATGATTAGATGCTAGAGCGCTCGCACTTAGATTATCACACCATATAATGGGAATGGAATGTTGAGGAATTCCTAATTCATTCAACAAGGACTAAATCAAGGTTATCTCAGCTCTGCAATGAGCCAATGCTCTGTATTCTGCTTCTGTACTGGACCTAGCTACCACATGCTATTTTTTAGATCTCCATGATACTAAGTTATCTCCAAGATACACACAATATCCGGTAGTCGACCTCCTATCATCTGGACAAGAAGCCGAGTCAGAATCTGCAAAGGCAGTGATATCGAGGCTTCATTCATTTGAATGGTTAGTCCATAACTTAGCGTCCCTTTCAGGTATCTGAAGACCCTCTTAAGAGCTTTCCAATGTTCATCTGTTAGTACCTGAAGATACTGACTTAACCTATTCACAGCATAGGTTAAGTCTGGTCTGGTGTGAATTAACTACTGGAGTCCACCTATAGCACTTCTATAAAGAGTGGGATCCCTCATTGATTGACCTTCAGTTTTGGAGATATGTTTTCCCACTACCATAGGTGTGATGCTAGGTTTTAGGTTTTCATAAACAAATCTTCTCAGTAACTTAGTGGCATATCTAGTTTGCTTTAGGTGTAACCCAGCTGCATCTCATGTAACTTCAATTCCCAAAAACTGCCTTAGCTTCCCCATATCCTTAAGTGCAAAACTATGGTTGAGCTTGTCGATAAACTCTTGCAACTGCTGATCAATATTACCTGTAATCACGATATCATCCACATAAATCAAGGCAAATAGAATATCAACTTCTTTAGCTAAGAAAAACAAGGAGTTAATAGCTTTGGATTGTCTGAACTTCCACTCCCGTAAAGCCTGTTTCAGTTTATCATGTCAAGCCCTAGGTGCTTGTCTTAGTCCGTATAGAGCCTTCTTGAGTCTGCACACGTGACTAGGATGATTTTTGTTCACAAAACCTTGTTGCTGATTCATGTAGACAACCTCATTCAGATTGTCATTCAGAAAGGCATTATTTATATCCACCTATCTGATTTGCCAATTCTATGATACAACAAGTGTTAAAATGATTTTAAGTGTTGCAGCCTTAATCATAGGACTAAAGGTTTCACTAAAGTCGACTCCAGGAGTTTGAAGAAGCCTTTTAGCCA